AATATTTGCATAAACATAATGAGATGTATTTGGAAAGGGACCCAAGTCTAAACATGACATTCACTTATGTCTCATATGTATCCTATACACATAAGCCAGAAGGGAATCTTATATGATATTTTTTGTGTTGGGGATGCTGAATAAATTGTTGTGTTGTGCACCTGCATTTTGACTGCGACTCAGCGCGTGCGGTCAGATGTAGACTCTGACTTGCGGCATCGTGTCTGCACTCACCAAAGTTTCCGATTCAGGGGCACTTCAGATTTCAGATTTTCAGATGCTCAACCTATGACTGCTTCTAACTGAAGTTCTTTATCAAGGTGATTTAGCACTTCTCACTATCCTACTTCCTGACTGTATTTCAACGTATTCGAATGTTTCTCTCTCTTGTCTCAGCCCTTCTACTATATGCATATGGCTATGTATTTTTTCTGGATATGTATTTTTAAATTATTTTTATCTTTCTGTTGCACTTCCTTTCATCTTAAGTCTGGTACTTACAGTAACATAAATATTTTACTTTAATATAATTGAACCCATCTTTGCCAGTAGTATCTTCTTCCCAAGTTGAGACAGTCTTATTTCCTTCTAAGGTTTTTATGGGAATGTTTAAAATTTTTAACTATACAACTCATGGAATTTATTGTAGCCTATGAGAATCAACAAGTACACTGAAAAAAGAAAAGGATTTATGATTTATATTAAAAACTGATTGGATGGCCGGCGCCGCGGCTCACTAGGCTAATCCTCCGCCTAGCGGCGCCGGCACACCGGGTTCTAGTCCCGGTCAGGGCGCCGGAGTCTGTCCCTGTTGCCCCTCTTCCAGGCCAGCCCTCTGCTGTGGCCAGGGAGTGCAGTGGAGGATGGCCCAGGTGCTTGGGCCCTGCACCCCATGGGAGACCAGGAAAAAGCTCCTGGCTCCTGCCATCGGATCAGCGCGGTGCGCCGGCCGCAGCGCGCCAGCCGCGGCGGCCATTGGAGGGTGAACCAACGGCAAAGGAAGACCTTTCTCTCTGTCTCTCTCTCTCACTGTCCACTCTGCCTGTCAAAAAAAAAAAAAAAAAAAAACTGATTGGAGTCCAGAAGCAGAAGCTTGTGGCCTTAAACAAGACATCTAACCCCTTTAGATTCAGTATCCACTACTGGACTTGAAAGCAAGGACTTTGTCTGATTTTTCTGCCTTCCCCACAATACCCAGCAAGGTACTTTGCATGTGTGATACATGTTGTACTGTCTATATTTAAGTTATATGTTTGCATATTGCTCTCAGGTTGTTCCTACGGCATTTATTAAATGATGCATTTCCTATTTACTTATTTACTAATTACTTATATTTGGTCACATGTCAACAGCACTCAGATTTGTTCCAGTGGCAAAGCACCTGGAAGTTGCAGCACTGTTTGCAGAATACTGGGATATATGGAGACACGAAACTTAAAAGAATGAAAATTAACATTTTATGCTAAATGAGGCAACCAGCTTATCCCATGATCTAGTGTAGTACAGAAGCCATATGATACGACACCAGCAGTTTTTTCTTTTTAATTCATGGGAAGAAATGTTAAAATTGAGGAAATTTCTATCTAATGATTTTAATACCTTTAAGAGTCAGGAAAAGAACACCAGCCCATGGAACAGCGAGTTTGTCAGGAGTAAAAGTTAAGCACCACATCTTATACAAAGCATTGCCAATTGCAACAAATAAAAGCCTCTGATCAAGTGTAAACATCACCTAAATATAAAGTCCAGCTGAACCGGGCTGAACTTCAGCTGAACCCAGAAACTATTTAAGATCAGTCCTTTGAATTGCCCTGGATAGAATTCCTGCAATATTAGAAAGTCTAAGGGAGAGCAGATGTCAGGCCTCCCATGCGTGTTCACACCAGCAACCTGACCTCCGGAGACTTCTGTTCATTCATCTATAAATGGGGAAAGCGCCTATAAAACACACAAGGGCCTCACCACCTCACGTGGACTTTGCACGCAAACAGGAAGTAGGATTGTTGGAACCATCAGAAAGATCCCATTTCAATTCTGCATTCCTTGTACTCGAAAGAGGGTAGCAGCACAGCAGGCCAGAGCCCTGTGCTCTGAAGATGTAGACAGGGATTTCTGTTAAGGCTGTTGGAACCCTCTGCAAGCAACACCAGTTTCTATGCTAATCAGTATCTTTTTATTGAGCTTACTTCTAATAGACCTTTAACTTAATAAAAAGGTTTCTTATTAAGAAAGATAGTATGGAGGCCAGTGCTGTGGCATAGGGGGCTAAGCAGTGCCTGCAATACCAGCATCCCTTATGGTCACTGGTTTGAGTCCTGGCTGCTCCACTTCTGATCCAGCTCTCTGCTATGGCCTGAGAAAGCAATAGAAGATGGACCAAGCCCTTGGGCCCCTGTACCCACGTGGGAGACCCAGATGAAGCTCTTGGCTCCTGGCTTCGGATTGGCCCAGCTCTGGCCGTTGCAGCCATTTAGGGAGTGAACCATCAGATGGAAAACTTCTCTCTCTCTCTCTGCCTCTGCCTCTCTGTAACTCTGAATTTCAAATAAAATTTTTAAAAAATACAGTATGCTTTAGTTAAAAAAATTAGTGGAATCACTGTGGTTCACAACAACCTATTTTGTAAATAAATAGATCTTAAAGCCTCCAAACATAAAGTAATGACAAGAAGAAGGAAAGCTTATTTTGCCTGATTTGGCCAATACACACTGTATACCTTTATTAAAGTGCCACACTATACCCCATAAATATGTACAAGTGTTAATTAAAATTATTTTTAAGATATAAGGAGATGGAAATGCTAACCTGATTTGATCATCACACACTGAATACATGTGTTGAATTACAACAGTACAATCCATAAAAATGTACAATTAAAATAATTTAAAAAAATACTTGCTAGGAGTAGGCATTTTGCATAGACATTAAGATGCCATCTGGGGCTGGCGCCGTGGCTCAATAGGCTAATCCTCCACCTTGCGGCACCAGCACACCAGGTTCTAGTCCCGGTCGGGGCGCCGGATTCTGTCCCGGTTGCCCCTCTCCCAGGACAGCTCTCTGCTTTGGCCAGGGAGTACAGTGGAGGATGGCCCAAGTGCTTGGGCCCTGCACCCCATGGGAGACCAGGAGAAGCACCTGGCTTCTGGCTTCGGATCAGCACGATGCGCCGGCAGCAGCGGCCATTGGAGGGTGAACCAACAGCAAAAGGAAGACCTTTCTCTCTGTCTCTCTCTCTCACTGTCCACTCTGCCTGTCAAAAAAAAAAAAAAAAAAAAAAAAAAAAAAAAGATGCCATCTGGGCATAGTAGGTTAAGCCTCCACCTGTAGCACTGTCATCCCATATGGGTGTTGGTTCGAGTCCTGGCAGCTCCTCTTCCAGTCCAGCTCTCTGCTTATAGCCTGGGAAATCAGTAGAAGATGACTCAAGTGCTTGAGCCCCTGAACCCACATGGGAGACCTGGAATAAGCTCCTGGCTCCTGGCTTTGGATTGACCCAGCTCCAGCTATTAAAGCCATTTGGGGAGTGAACCAGTGAATGGAAGACCTCTTTCTCTGTCTTTCCCCTTCTTGCTCTGTAATTCTGCCTCTGAAATAAATAAATAAATAAATAAAAATCTTTTTTTTTTTTAAAAAAGTGCCACTTGAAATGCCCACATCCCATATCGGGGTACCTGGTTTTGATACTTGGTTCTGGTTCCTGACTCTAGCTTTCTGCTAATTCTCTCTCTCTCTCTCTCTCTCTCTCTATGAAATAAAAAAAATCTAAAAACAAAAAAGATTGTCTTGGCTCTTAAAAAAAAACCTACTTGCTAGAAAAGGATTGGTCCTACCACTTGATCTGAGGTTTTGAGCCTCCATTTCTCCCCTGAAGAGAATGAGTGTTTAGAATGGACAGTTTATGAAGTTCTTTATAATTCTAATCTTCTTTTTCAGACATAGCTATGTCCCAATTCCAGAAAAATCAAGATGCAAAACGTCATACTTAGGAAACAGATAATCTGTTATTCATAATGGCCCTCGCTGAGTCACTCTGAAAAATTCTCTAGTATTTCCTTAACTGGTGCAAATCATAAGTGAAATTAAAATATGATTCCCAGTACAAATCTCCAAGTCTTTTATGGATAGTTTATCATAAACACCCTGTCAGGAAAGTGGCCTCTCTTTCATATACTGTGATATTCATAAATGAGATTCTGTGGCAGTTTTATACGCACACGTGTATGTGTGGGGTGTGTGGGGGTGTATGTGTGTGTGGGTTGGCAGGAAGTTAGAACTGCTGAGTCCTGATTCAGATACAGATCCAAAAGGACAGCAGATTCCTGGAGAGTCCTTTGCTTGGACAGGAAGTGAATCATGACTTCATCTGACACGTGGTTTCCAATCTCCAGCGCACTCTGGGTCCAGGCTCTGAAACCAAGGCCAACAGAGTGAAGCAGCTCCACAAACTCGAGCAATCAACCTCTCCCCTTCTGATACCACCTCCAGAGACTGCATGGCTCAGTGGGATTGTACAAAGCATTTCAGTAAATACTAGCTCAAGCCATTTTCCCCTCAAAAATGTATCCCACCAAAAGGTTGGCTTCTCATCTCCCCAGGAGTGTGTGTACTCCATATGTCTTTGAACTCTCGCTGTAGGCTGTGGTACAGATGATCTCAGATTGTCTTGATTGTCCTAACGGAGTTAGCCCATGAAAGGCACTGCACTCTTCAGAAACTGACCACTGGAGTGAGGACACACCAGGTGGCTCGCCCTCACGGTGGGCCACCGAGTCAGATCAGAAAGATTAAGGCAAAGTCACAGACAGCAGCAGCCCTGTGTACGTCGAGCACTCCCCTGTGTGTATGTTTCTGAGGATGACATTGCTCCCAATATTAGCAAAGCTTCAAACGCGCCCAGTGCAATGGGACCCAGTGCGTTGATGGGAACAGCCGTTTTTCACTTAATTCTCCCAACACCTGGGCTATTTGCAGTCAAGTTTTGCTATCCTGTTGCAGGTTCAGCAACTGGTCTTGCCCAGAAGCAGCGAACACCTCACCGGCGATGTCAGCAACCCAAAATGTTGAGTAGCCCTGAGGACACCATGTACTATAACCAGTTAAATGTGAGTTCAAAGTGGCCATAAAGCTGTTTCCCTGGCTTTGTTTCCAGTTAATAATTCTGTTATTAATACCTGTTCCAGCCCCTCCAGCCCCACCCCCACTCTCTTATGCTCTCGTCTTGAACATGTGCTTAGGCTCTTTATCTGTTGCTTTCATGTCAGGATGTCTGCCTTCACGGTGAATAATTGATGTGGTTTATCAAAGACGAGCAAGATGCATGCTTCATCAGGCTCACTTGAGCCCTTTGATCAAAAAAATTATGCTGTGACTTCTGATATTATCAGCATCTGCTTGCATTCAACACAAAATCACTTTGAATTAAAAATTAACGACTTGCTGCTTTGCTTTGACTGTGTGTTCTTGGCCCTCTCCACAGGGAACTCTAGAATATCAAGGGAGCAAGAGGAAGCCAAGAAAACTTGGGTAAATATCTGTCTTCTTAGTTCTAAGCAACTGTAAACAGAAGGGGTCCTTTGTGATATTACAGAAAATGCAAAACTTTCCAGAGAGGCTTCTAAAAATATGCAATCTGGCTATGCCACTATTATTGACATTGGAAGCTACTTTTTACAGTAGCAAGTACACAAAACTTGAATCTACTCTGTCCGAAAAGACTGAAATGATCGCCCAAGAGCGAATGTTATTTCTCATGATTTTATTCCAGAGAATTGTACCTCTTCACAACTGGAAGCATGTAGTGGGTTGTATGACACTCTCCTTCCACAAGTAAGAGCACTCCACAGACTACAAGTAGGCTACTTCCTCCACGTTACCCTATCCCTAAAACATGCACAGAGGGAAGACCTCCCCCAGAGGGTAACAGAGGCTGGTGAGGAGTGTGGGGCTCAGTTGATTGTTAGCATCTTGACTGGGAATAGCAATGAAATAGGTCATTGGCACTAGTTCTAGAATTGGGAGAGGTCAGGTGGGAAACTTTCTCAACTTGAGGGAAACAGATAGAGACAGACATTTTAATCACACAAACCAAGTTGCCCTACGACCATAGCTTCCGTGCACTGCTAGATTGGACCTGTTATCCGTGTGGGAGCCGGAGGGGATCCATGTGGCGGATCTGACCCTGAGCTGCCCGAGCTGTCCTCAGCGTTGGGCTCCTACCCTGTTCCAGTGACGCACACACCCTCAGCTCTCTCAGTGATGCCCACTGGCCTGTGTTTGCTTGTTCTGTAGAAAATCCTCTTCTTGTCTTTGTTGCAGCCAAGTCAAAGTGCTCGATGGGGACGATGAATATTACAAAGCTTTGTCTCCGGTGGACTGCAGCCCTGAGGACTCGAACTCTGCCCACCGGTTCTTTTTTTCCTCCTCACCCTCCACAGGAGACTCTTTTCTTCCCCACTGAGTTGTGCTTCCTGACCCCAAATCTGTCCAGGGTAAGAATAATCATGGTGATGGACTGCTTGTTGTTGAATAAGAAGGCGTTGGCTCCTTTGGACACCCAGTCCCTGCCTGAGCCTCACTGAACAATTTGCGGGTCCCTAAACATCTTCCCAGCTCTTTTTGACTGTCCCACGTGTGCAGTGCAGCCTGAGCAGAGCAGTCTCTCCTTTCCTCACCCCGCGGGCCTCCCTGGGATGCTGAGAACCCCTCCCCCACAGTGATGAGAGTCCCTCATGCCTCCACACCTACGACAGTAACAATCGCACCAAGGCCGGTCACAAACACTCAGATGTCTGACTTTCCCACCAGGTCACCTGTCCACCCACGCGGAATCCCGCCAACAGGAATCCAGGGGTGCCTTCCCTGCTCTCTGCTCTCCCCTTTCCGTTTGCCGGGTGCTTTGTCCCCGTGCCTCTCCCAGGGTCAGAGCCCCACCGTGGGGAGCTCTCATCCTGGAGTGTAGGCAGACAGGCCTACATCTTCAGATTCTTTCCACAAGGCAAATGAACCCCTCTCATGAATTACTGTGCTGCAAAAGCCTTTGCCTGTTAATCTACCTTGCCAGGATTCCCCAGCCCCCCGCCCCGCCCTGTCAATTTATTAGTGAAAAAGAGAGCAGGGTGAGAGAGAGAGAGACTGTGGATCTGTCTGAGGCCAGGCCCCCTCGTTTTGGAACTCTCCACTCGCTGGTCAGCTGTCTCCACTAGGCTGGGAGTGGCCGCCGGGGAAGGGTCTGATCTTGTCCATCTTGGTGTGCACGGAGCCCAGCACAGGGCCTGGCAGAGCAGGCATCCAGCGTGTGTGGCATGAATGGAGAGACACTGACATGGCTGATAGGAAAGTTACTTTCCATTAGGTGGTATATACGATGCATCACTTTTCTTACCTTAGAAGCTCTGACTTTTCACCCAAGATTGGAGTAGTCCATTACAATGATGCTATATTATATGCTGTAATATTCAGTGTGATTCAATATGACAAGCTCTTCTGAGCATTGTACTCTGTGAGATTGCTGTGTGACATAAAATCAAAGCAAAACAATAAAAACCTAAGACCCTTTCTCTAGAACATTTGTCTTACATTTTTCTTCATCTAAAGTATTTGGCAGAGGTGGCCATTTGACCTGGCAGTTAAGACATTGGTTGGGAAGCCTGTATCCCATGTTGAGTGCCTAGGTTCCAAACTCGGCTCCACCTCTGACTCCAGTCTCCTAGTAGTGCAGACCATGGCGGGCAGCAGTGACAGTTCCAGTGATCGGTTCCTGCCACCCTTGTGGGAGACCTGGATTGAGTTCCCAGGTTTCAGTCCCCATGGGGGCACCTTGCTGGACTTTGGGGAGTGAGCCAGCAATTCAGAGGTCTGTCTGTCTTCTCTCTGCCCTTCAAATAATAATTTAAATTTTAATGAAGAGAATATTTAGCAGATAGTATGCATGATAGTACCTACATTTTTAAAAAAGATTTACTTATTTGAAAGTCAGTGTTTCAGACAGGGGAGAGAGAGAGAAAGAGAGAGAGAGAGAGAGAGAGAGAGAGAGAGAGAGAGAGAGGTCTTCTATCCACTGGTTCACTCTCCAAATGGCTGCAACAGTCAGAGCTGGGCCACGCCAAAGCCAGGAGCTACAGGCTTCATCCAGGTCTCCCATGCGGATGCAGGGGCCCAAGCACTTGGGCCATCCTCTGCTGCTTTCTCAGGTGCATTAGCAGGGAGATGGATTACAAGTTGAACATCCAGGACTCAAACCAGCACCCATGTGAGATGCCAGCACTGCAGACCTTACCAGCCACACCACAGTGCCGGCTCTAATACCTACATCTTAAGAAAAATAACCTTGAAGAAATTGAAAAAATACTATCAGTTTTGAAAGAGGGAATATAAATAAGTATTTATTAAACATAATGAAACAAGGCATTTAAAGGTCTCAGAAATTACAGTAAAGCTAGCTTTTTTGATAGCTAAACTTCGGTATTATAGCACAATGGGTTAAAAGCCAGCATTGATGATGCCCACATCCCCTATCTGAATGGGGGTTCAAACCCCAGCTACTCCACCTCTGATCCAGCTTCCTGTTAATGTGCCTGGGAAGGCAGGGGGTGAAAACCCAAGTCTTTGGGTCTCTGCCACCCACATGGGAGAACTACATGGAGTTGGGTTTGGCCCGACCCAGCCCCACCTGTTGCAGGCATCTGGGGAGTGAATCACAGGATCTCTGTCACTCTGCCTTTCAAATAAATGAATTAAATAAATCTTAAAAGAAACTCAAAAAGATGTATGTAAGTAGAGCAGAAGAAACACAAATGTGTTTTATTTTATTGTTTAAAATATAATTCTTAGATTATATATAAATGTTTAATGCTGGTGATGAACACATGTGGAAGTTTCACTTTTATCCTTGATGGTATACTTTTGATTTGATAATATTAGCTGCTTTTCAAACTCTTGCATAGAAATGTTCATTACTTCCAGCTTGTCCATGTACAATACAGTGGTAAACCTGCCTTGTTTCTGTAAATCTAAAATGCAAAAAGAAGTAATTATAAAATCATAGTTCAGAATTTCTGCAATAATTAGTCATTAGTTAGCCGTAACTCCTAACAGTGCTTTAAAAGAAGTAGTGTTTACCGTCCCCTGCCAGCTGCCGTATAGATGCGACAAACTGGACATTATTCTCAGGCTAATCCTAATTCCACACACTCAGAAAGTGATTCCTAAATTAAGTAGATGAGAATGATATGACATGGTATCTCACAAATGTCTGATTACATTCAGCAAAGTCAAATGAACATGGCAATAACCAAACAACAATCCAACAGTTGACAGGGTTTAAAATGGACAGCAGTCTTCTCCTCCGTGTCTGCCACACTCAAAAAACAAACGGCTTTTACAGAATTTCCTATTCCTAATTATATTTTTAGTTTATTTATTTATTTAATTTTGTTTGAAAGGCAGTGACAGAGAGAGGAAGATTAAGAGATCTTCCATGCACTGATTCATTCCCCGAATGCTCACAGCAGACATGGTTGGGCCAAGCTGAAGCCATGAGCCTGGAACTCAGTCGAGGTCTCCCACATGGGTGTCAGGGACCCATATACTTGAGCCATGACCTGCTGCCTCCCAGGCTGCACGTTGGCAGGAGCTGTATTAGAAGTGGAGGTGGGACTCCATCCCAGGTGCTCCAGTGTAGGATGCGTGCATCCCAATACAGCGGATTAACTCACTGTGCCACAACACCCAGCCTGCTTCTAATTATTCTAATGATTTCCACCATGTCTCTGAATAATTTGCTTCTACTTTCTTGGTTTATCTTTTCAACTAGTTACTTTCCTCCTTACAAGAAATATGGATTTATTCTCATCCCTCCTTTTGGGAGTTGTAATTTTATGTTTAAATTGTCTCTTACTGTTGTTTTTTTTTTTTTAATTTATTTTATTTGTTTGAAAGGCAGAGTTACAGAGAGAGTGGGAGAGACAGAGAGAGAGAAAGAGAGATCTTCCATCCGCTGGTTCAACTCCCCAGATGGCTGCAACAGCTGGAGCTGGGTCAGGCCTGTCGCTCCCCCTCTTCGTGGAGGAGCAACACAAGACCCTGCGCTGTTCTTTCGTCTGCTCGGCCCTCCCCGGGTTTGCTGCTGGTTCTTCCCGGGTTGGCTACTATCCCTTCCACCTCCGTGGAAGGGCAGTTCCCCCTGGCCGCATTCCCCACTTCCGCAGGGGAGCGGCACACCGCCGGCCGGCTTTCTCGGGGGGCTGCACAGGTGTTCCTTCAGCTAGGTGTTCCTTCAGCTAGATGTTCCCCATAGATGTTCCCCATAGATGTTCCTGGTGCATGCCGTCTCTCTCCTCCTTTATAGTCCTCCTCCGCCAATCCCAACTCGGCTGCCCACACGCCGAGTACGCTGCTCTCCAATCAGGAGCAAGTCCTACAGTTAATTGGTTGAACTGGAGGCAGCTGTGCGGAAGCTGTTTACTCCTCTCCCAGCGCCATATTGTGGGAGAGCAGATGCATAGAATAAGTCTTAATTCCAGTAACTTAGTCCAGTCCGGATGCTCCCCACAAGGCCGAAGCCAGGAACAAGGAGCTTCATCCAGGTCTACCATGTAGGTGCATGGCAAAAGATGGCACTTAGGCCAACTTCTGCTGCTTTCCCAGGTGCATTAGCAAGGAGCTGGTTCAAATGTGAAGCAGCTGGCACTTTACCTGGCTCTTATTTGTGATGATGTCATTGCAGGTGGTGGCTTAACCTGCTATGTCACAACACCTGCCCTTCTGATTACCTTTTAAACTTTATATGGTTAAACATTTTTGGTTTTTGTGCCATCAGCTTTGGAAGTGTCTCTATGAGAATACCTGACATAAGCAGACTGAAAGATAAGATCAAGACACTCAGGGGCCAGTGTTGCAGCCCAGCAAGTTAAAGCACTGCTTACAACACTGGCATCCCATATTGGAGCCTGGTTCAAGTCCAGGGCGTCCCACTTCCAATCCAGCTCCCTGCTAAGGAGCTTAGGAAAGCAGCAGAAGATGGCCCAAGTATTTGGGTTCCTGCCATCCACATGGGAGACCAGAAGAGTTCCTGGCTTCAGGCTGCAGCCTGGCCCAGCCTTAGCCATTGTAGTCATTTAGGGAGTGAACCAGCATATCGAAGATCTTTCTCTCTTTGTCACGCTACCTTTCAAGTAAATCAAATAAATCGTTTAATTTTTAAAAAAAGGCACAGAAATAATTCTGGGAATAGCACATGTTTAAACATTAAGACTCTTGGTGTCCATATGCTGAGCTGCTCATCAGCAGATAAGCCTCCATTCACTCTTACACTATAATACATACAGAAAAGGGTACAGATCAGAAGATTCGAGTCAGTAGATTGCCAGAGCATAAACACCTACATGACCACCTTACGAGCCTGGAAGCAAGTACCCCAGAGGCCTCCCCAAACCTCTTCCCAAACACTGCTCCCCACGCCTTCCCAGAGCTAAGCATCCTCAGGGCTCTAACTGAAACACTTCCCTGGAATTCTTCTTAGTTCTACAGTTACATGCATCCCTAAACACTTCAGTGGCAGTTTGCCTTTGATAGTTAGGTTTTGAGGACTATATATAAGTAGAATCACAGAATAACGTTTTTTGGTATTCTGTGTTTCATCTGATGTTATATTTGTGAGGTTTATCTACCTGTCTTATAGAATGCAAATGTAGTTCATTCATTTTGTGACTGTGTAGTGTTTTTGTGCTTAAATATGATGTGGTTGATTAAACTAGTCTACTTTTAATGGACACTTATGAACTACTTCCAATTTTGGGGCTACTTTTGGAAATTGCTGCCATGAGCATTTTTATAGATATCTCTTGGTGCCTTTTTTTTTTTTTTTCATTTTTAAGGGGTGGGTAAATGAAATTAAACATTTATTTTGGTGCAGAGAAACTTTGAAATCCATGCATAGCTTTTCTTTTATTTTTTGGCTTTTTTCCCCTTAGAAACCTTTTATTTAAGGTATACAAACTTCATGCACTTCATAAATACAACCTTAGGAACATGCTTCCTACCATACCCACTCTTATTCCTCTTCCCTCTCCTATTCCCATGCTTATTTTTTTACTAAGACCTATTTTCAATTAATTTTATACACAGAAGATTAATGCTATACTTAGTGAAGAGCTCAACAAATAGTATGAAAAAAAAAAAACTGTTCCTCAACATTTTTTTGACTGCTCTTTTGATTTCTTCCATGACTCAGTGTTCATTCATGAGCATGTTGTTCAGTCTCCATGTGTTTGCATATGCTCTAGAGATTCCTGACTTGTTGATTTCCAGCTTCATTCCACTGAATGTCAGAGATGATGCATGGTATGATTTCAATTTTTCTGTATTTCCTGAGACTTGCTTTATGGCCCAACCTGTGGTCTATCCTAGAGAAAGTCCCATGCAACGTAGGATGAAAATTCTGTAGATATCCATTAAGTCCATTTGGTCTATAGTGTTGATTAACTGTTGTTTCCTTGCTGATTTTCTGCCTGGTTGATCTATCCATTGCCGAAAGTAAGTTTTGAAGTCCCCCATTACTATTGTAT